TTTGATAAGAATAGTCTCAAGTAGTTAGTAAAGATTTGTCTGAGAGATCACCTCATGAATAAGAAAGAATAGCGTAAGAAATGATATTGGAAGCGTTTTTAGTTCATATAACTGTATTATCTCTGATGCTATAAAGTTTGATAGGGTTTGGTAATGGTAACGACGATTCATGTTTAGTTTCTCAAGAAAAAGGACGTTTGTCACGAAGGGAAACTTCAAAGTAATTTGTCGCTTCTAGATCATAAATTTCTTTGTTTTTGCTTTTCCTTACTTTAATTAATTCATCTGGAATAGAGGGTACTATTGTTAATCTATTCCCACTTTGTGTTTTTCTAATTATTTCCAACTCTGGATAATAGGCTTCTTTTAAAGCTTTTAGACTTAAGCCATAAATAATTAATTCTTCATAGATTTTTCCTACTTTTGCACCTTCTCTCCCATCTGCTGAACAAGAAAACTCTTTGACGTTATCTGGTAAATATTCTAAGCCGGAATCGATGTCAGTATTTTTAATATCAAGTTTTTCTAACTTATTTAGATTTTTCAAAGGCTCCAGAGAACCAATAAAGTTATTGTAAACTCCTTGCTCAACTCTTTCTTTTAATAAATAGTCTATATTGGTATTTCCTAAGTAAAGTTTTTTTAAGTTTATTAAATGGCTTAAAAAAGATAAATCCTGTTTAACAAAATTGTTATTCATAATTGACAATTCCTCCAAGTTTTTATTTTTGCTCAAATCTAGATTTCTTAAAAGATTACTGCCGCAATGAAGCACTTTCAAATCAGGATAATTCTTTATATTCAATTCTGTTAATTGGTTATTTCCACAGTCGATTTCTTTTAAACTAGGGCAATTAATTATTTCTAGATGAGTAATTTTGTTTCCATCGCACTTGATTTTTTCAAGGTTAGGAAAATCTTCCAATTTTAAAGAGCCTTGCAGACCTTTGGAACTTATATCTAATATAAAATACTTAGAAAGGAACTCGCGCTCATTGATAACTTTTCCTTGGAGTTGAGAGCAGTATCAATCCATTCATTCCTGGACACTATTAGTCCAAATAATTTTCTCTTTCTTTAGCAATGGACAATTTTGTGTATCTAGATCAGTTATTTGGTTATCTGAATAATATAAAGTAGCGAGACTGGGTTTATACCCTAAATTTAAATTGATTATCCTGTTTTTTGAACATGAAAGTAATTCTAGTTGCAAGCAATAACTTACGTCTAAATTGACTAATTTATTATTGTCGCAATAAATGCTAGTTAAATTTGTATTTTTGCTCAAATCTAGGGAAGCTAAATTGTTATCGTAACAAAAAATCATTTTTAGTTTTGGACAATTAGCGATCTCCAATTCGGTTAACTTATTTTTACTGCAAAATAATCTTTCTAAATTAATGAAATCACTTAAATCTAATTCTCCTTCTAATCCTTTTTCAATAATGGACAAGTCTTTAATATTGATTCTTGTGTTTTTAGAATAATTTTCATCTAATCATCTTTGCGCTTGGCTTTTTTTTGCATAGAGATCACTCGAATATTCAATATTCTCACTACTTTCCATATTATTCAGGACTCGTTCTTGGTCAATTTTCTTATCCTTTATACCATTATTTCAATTTTCCAATTCTCTAGCATAGAGTAATTCACGAAGAACATTTTTAGCTTCTTCATCAACATTGAGACTATAGATAGTTACCTCCTCATCTCTTTGGATTTTTTGGAAAGTTCCTAGGAACACCTTATCTTTTTCAGGAATATCTAAGGAATTTACGTTTACTTCTTGACCCTCTTTAATTTTTCCCATAGCAATAATGCTAGTGACAAAAAACGGTTTGCAAGGTTCGCATATGAATTTTCCTGTGTCTCGAAAAACATGTCTAGCATTATTTTCTTTACAAAAAGAACAAATCTCGTCTCTTTCTAATAGTTCGAGCAAGACTCATTCTCGCCAAATTTTTTCTTCTTGATGAACAATTCCTAAATATTCTACATATTCTTCTCGTAACTTACTACTATCCAAATTCATGACTTGATTAGTATCTTTCTTCTTGACATTTTTTAGTCAGGCACAAAAACCAGAATCAATTGGCTTCATTCCAACATTGATCAATCCCTCACACTCTTCATAACTAAATCCATTATTTTTTCACTCTTTTTGCATTTCAGAAGTAAAATCGGAATGTATGTTTTTCCAATCTTCTTTTAGAGAAGAAATAAGTTGTTTAATTTGTCCTCTAACCGGACCATCTTTCTTATTGCTTGAATAATATACATTTCTGTCCGAAGTGCTATCTATTATATAAAGACTCTCCAATTTACTTAATCCTTGCAAGGGTTTCAAACTTTTGTAGAAATCATTATTGTTAGACGTTTGATAATTATTAGAAAGTTCCAAGTGTTCTAAATTAGTGAATTTGCATAAAGGAGTTAAATCACTAGATAGGAAATTATTATCACGCAAATATAATTGCTTCAATTTAGGAGGATTAAGATTAGATAGTAAAGAATTAAGGTCATTTAGATGATTTATCTTGCCATCTAAATATTCTAGATTATTTGAACCACTAATTTCTAAGTTGACAAGTTGATTATTAGAGCAAATAATTGTTTCTAATTTAACTAAATTATTAAGTTTTAAAGAAGTTAGTTTATTATCATTACAATATAACTTTTTTAAGTTGGTGAAACTAGTTAAGTCTAAACTTCCTTCTAATTCCTTGTCGCTAATATTTAATTGTTCTAGTTTATTTCTTCGTTTGGCAGGACTAGCATTTTTTATTGGATAACGCTGTTCCATTCATTGTTGAGCGTTTTTTAATTGAATTACTTTAGTTTCTTTCTTTTTATTGGTTATTTCAAACTTTTTTTTATCAATCAAATAGGAAATGAATATTTTTTCTAGATTATTAAAGTCAGTTAAGTCTAAATCTTCCGATAATTGTTCATTGATATATATTTCTTTGGTTTGTTGAGAATAATTTTCGTCTAGTCATTTTTGGGCTGAATTATTTTCTGTTTCCTGTTTTTTAAAATTATTTTCTTGCTCTAACTCCTCCTTATATGAATTTCGCAATTGTTCTAAATCAGTGTTGTTTTTCACTCACTGTGGCTCAGCAAAATTTTCGATATCTTGACTTTTTATGTCTCGTAATCAGGTAGCAAGTCTAAATTCAGAAGGCGTTAAATTGATACTTATTCATTCCTTTACTTGTTCATAATTAAATCCTCGTGCTTCTCAATTTTGCCGTAATTCAGGTGTAAAATCCAGATGGATGTCTTGTCAGTTTACCATATTTTTTAGAATTTGTGTTATTGTCGTTTAAAAAAATTTTTTTAATCACTAAAAAAAGCCTTTAAGCATCTAATATCTAATAAGTTAGCGATCGGTTTTTGATTTAATACATTAAATTATACTTACTAGACATCTTTATTGTTCTGGTCATAGGCACATTTTATATTATTCTCTATATATATTATTATAACCTTACTTCTTTATTTTATCTAATGGTAACATAACTACCGCCCCAAATACCCCTTCAAAATTACTGAATGACCTCACTCAGATAAAACAAGTATCTAAATCAGACTTAAAACACTTCCTCTCTTTAGATCACACTTCCTTCACAGTCCTTTCAGTTAGCTGTAAACATATAGAAAGCACTGACCGTATCTCAGTAACTTTATCTAAAAACAGTGCTCGCTCTTTTTACCTTGGAAAACCCAAAAATCCCACTGAACAGCACTCTTTTTCCCCTTTAACTAAACCAGATGACTGTCTAAAAGATGCTCAGAACTGTGTCTACTTCCAATTCTTTAGTTCTAAAGAAAAAAAACTCTACACTCGCTTCTTAGATAAAGTAGAAAGTAATTTCGAAGGAAAAGCAGCTGAACAGCCTGCTTTATTCCTCACCCTCACTTTCAATACTACCCACGATAACTACTCCACTTTTACTACTAACTGAAATCCCCAAGATCCAGTTTGAGAACCAGTGAAAAACAAAAATTCTTGACTTAAAGACTGAGCCCGAAACTTTGATCCGGAAGCCGAACCTTTTAAAATTCCGATTCAAAAAGTTCCTAATTCAGTAAAACAGCATGCTTCCGCTACTCATTATCTTCAATTATTTCTTCGTAGAGTAAGAAGATTATGAAAACCCTCCAAATGAAAATGATGTGTTATTGCTGAACTCCAAAAAAATGGAGTTTGACATTATCACTTCTTATCTACTCCCATAGTCCCTTACTCCCATAAATGCACTCTAGACAAGAATTTCACCTCCTGTTGAAACTGTCGGGCTTACATTAGCCAGTTATGACCTTACGGAAGAGTTGAATCACGCTCTCCTGGCAAAAAAACTATCTCTAACTACCTTGCTAAATATCTCTCTAAGTCTTTTCATTTAAGAAGTCTTTATGCTCAGCATGGTTTAAAGGAAAACCACAAAACTTATCGCTTCTTTAAACACTTGTATGATTATGAAGAAAGAACTGCTATTTTAAGCGGAAAAAGTAAATTAGATCTTGCTACTCAGCAACCGTTAAATAATCAACAAACTGTTTTTAGGCGTTATAACTATGCTACCGGACAAACTTCTTATTTCTACCGCACCCAAGAAAAACTAATCGGCACCGCCTCTAAACCAACCCTCATTAAAAAACACTACCGTTTAGGAACTCGCTCTCTCAATCCTACTTCTTTACTCCCCCTCTTTTCTAAACACTCTCAAAAAGAAGTTTATCTAGCCAGAAAGCCTAAACAGCAACTAGACCAAGACTTCCAAACTTTCTTAATCACCCGTTTACTCTTACTCTGTAAAACAGCCCAATTTCTCCATACTCCACTGGAACAGGAACAAGTCCCTAAAGAATGAAACGACAGTAAATCAAACCTCTCTTGTAATCAATCCATCCTCTCTCACTTCCAAACTAAACCAGTTCTTCACTTTACCTTTACTCCCTCAACTGCCCCTCTAATTAGAACCTTCATAGATAAATTAGA